GCCCTTTGAAATGGTTTGACTCTGCATTAAACTATGTTAGACATACTTAATTGTTGACATTACATATTTTGTGCTCTCTGACACTGGCCTGCCATAATACCTCATATTAGCTCCTGATTAACAGCTTTGAAGATTGGTTAATAAAAAAAGGTCTCGATTTTGATAATCAATGAATTGTGAATTAGGGAATAACAGTCTGTCGACAGCTTCTCTAATATGTAGTAGGGGTGTAACGGTTCACAAACATTTCGGTTCGGTACGTACCTCGGTTTTTAGGTCACGGTACGGGTACGTATACCGTTACACACCTAATACGTAGACATCCTGCCCTTTTCTGGTCCTATTATAACTGACATTTAAAGACACCACCTTAGACTTTGAGAGACTGGGATGAAAATGTTTCTCTTTGTCTTGACTTTTATAGACCAAACTATTTATAGATGACAATAACAGGGTGACACACGCTTTCACTCTCAATCTCACGCTCTCACGCTGCCCAAAAACAAGAATACCGAAGACTAGAAACGGTTTTGAAAACTGTTGTCACGTAGTGATCGTCTTCTCAATAGAACATCTTTGATAATGTCTTCTGGCCAATCAGAATCAAGATAACGGCGTGGTGTTGTTGCAGGAAGTCCTGACGGAGAATACTTTTGCTGTAGTACATCTCTATATACATCGATACAACGTTACGTGTTGATAGAAATCAACACATAATGAAATGAGACTCCACGGTTTGATGATTGATAGGTGTGTGGGTTGTCTTTGATTTTGACACACAGAACAATGGGGGCTATCCACTCTTATCCACAATGTAAAGTAATTCACACAGCCTCCTCTCTTCTCTCTTCAGTGAGGAGCAGCAGGTTCAGCTTTCAGAACAAAGTAACACAAAACTAAAATGGCATTCATTTCTTTGTCGTGTAGTAATAGATTTATTTATTTGTCTTCTCAAGAGAGTACCAGAATGTGTATTTTATGTTAGTATTTCAAAAGAATCCCCCCAGACCCCCCTAGAGGTTGGGTTTTCAGCATGTCAACTCTTTCACCTGTGGGTAAATTGCAGGATTGGCTCCAGGTCGCCCTTTTTATTTACTACAAGACAAATGTGCCTTTTTATTTCATACAGTTCAATTTGGATTGAGACAGGGAAATAATCTAAACCTCACGCATGGCGTTTCACTGTCAAGGGGAGCGGGTATGTAATTACATTGCAAATACTGACTTCAGCCCCACCACTGTATGGGTTAGCCCTACCATAAGTTACCCAATAAAAATACTCTCTCGCAACTGCCGACCCGTATTGCGCATGCTCAGATCTCAGATCCAGTAGAAATGATAAAAAAGTAAAAGTCTGCTGCTTATTGTTCTACTAGGCCAAAATAGAGTCAAAGAGTATATGAGAGGGAGAGTGTGTTCATTAATATGTTTGGCAGTTTGGAGTAAGTCTGTAGATTTGTTTGTGTCTGTGTGTTTCATGTATAGGCCTCTCACGATAATTAATTTAGTTGGATACATTTTCCCGGAAATTATTGCGATAACCGATAATATTGTCGGCACCGTTGTATGACCATTTTAGACCACTGACATAATGATAATATATAATAATAATTCAAGTATATCCTTTCAAACTGCTAGTCACATCCTCATGTAAATGGCAATGTATCAAGTTCATTTTTATTTATTGTACGATAAGTCAATTAATTGCTTATCGCGACAGGCACACAATAAAACAGTGGAAACAAACATGTGTTTGACTTTCATTAGTGAATGAAACTGTGTGTCCTTTATAGTCTGTGTCTAATTTTGTGTATTTGTATATATTGTATATATATCCTATATATATATGCTATGGTCCCGCTGCTGACACGATAGCAGTCATTTCGTGCGCATATGTGTAATTAAACCCATGATATCAAGATCTCACTCCAGACAGGTGCCCAAAGTTGGCAACCCTGCAATAATTGCTAGTTGTAGTTCTACCTGCAGTAAGAGCCTCATGGCTACTATTACGAGCTCTACTTCCTTGCACCAGTTCCCAGAGAAAGTGTGACCCAGCTCCTGTTCCACGGCAGAATGGTGCTGACCACATCCCGGCTCTCACCATGATGTATGTGTTAAGTCAGGGTCTGCACTTGGTGGCGTGCTGCACGAAGCCGGCTCATTATTATGCGACTGGCACAGGAAAAAGATGGGAGGCAGCGATGCCGAGAGGGAGGCCTGCAGGAGAAAAGGCGATGTAATATTAGACTAGAAGAAGAGTTGACATTTATGAAATCGACTTGATCCATCCATTTCTCTTGCCACAAAAGTTAGCCTATTCATTTGGAGGAGAGTCTATTCGAACTGAATTTCCGTGTGTCATATTGTCTCGGGGGAGGGGAGGCTTTTGAACTGCTTGTTTTACAGATGGAACTTCAGGTTAATTAATTTGCACCGACTGACAGTGTTTCACACCATAGGTTTGGTTTGCTCTGGGGTCTTTTCCACAATGGAGGATTCTCTTTAGGTGACACTTTTATATGAACGCCTCTCATTGTGTGGATACAATTGTACACTGTTATTATGTATCACTGGTATTTTCAGTACGTATAAAAGTACATCCCTGTTTATAAAAATATATAGAAGAGATTTATTTGTTTCCTCTTGTAGAAAGTACAAGACAAAAACATTGTAGTAGGGTTACCGTTTCATTATTTGGACTGCTTCCAAAGCTTTTTGTCATTATCTTTGATGGTGAGTTGCTTGCAGAATAGTGCTGTTCTCCTGTTTAACTATCCCAGTACCCGTGTGACAGTGAGCGAGCGAGTACAGTAGGTGAAGCAGATACATGGATTCCAGTCATTATTCATGGATTCATTTAATTATTTACATGATCCATGCTTTTTTAAAATTTTGTAGTTCCCTAACAACAAGATAATTAGAATAGGACTGTCAAAATATATGGCAAAAAGTATCACGCTATGCCTATAAAAGTGTTTATTTCCTTGTTTCCGGAAAAATAATATTGTATTATTAACTTGATCAATATTTAATATTTTAATATCACGGTTATTTTCAATACCAGTACATTGCAGCCCCCATATTTCCATTGATTTTAAGCTTTTTACTGGTTGAGATGCGCACTGTAACTTGTAGTGTCTGCAGCAGACTCGTCTCAGTGACTTTGCAGTTCTAATTTGTCTCCAATGCCTTTCGCTTGTGTCACTTGTGGATGTTACAGTCCCTCACCTTCTTATTGTTCTTAGCTTCTGATGCAGCCTGTAGCGCAGATTTAAAACGGGACGTATTTTAATGGTATTACACATGAGAGGAATTGGAGCTGCAGGCACACCAGTCACTGTGGAGCCTAAGAAGCCATGCCAAGTGTACACACACACACACACACACACACACACACACATGTACGTAATCCCTTTGATTGTGTCCTATTTTCTCTGTCTCCACCGCCGCAGGTTTTTGTGAATGTGTCCTAGAGTGTGGGGGGATGTTACCGCCACTGAGCCCCCTGAGCCAAGAAGAGCCCGGGTAGAGCTGTGGCTCCGCGCCGTTAATGCAGCTTTTGTGCTTGTGTTTAGACTCTCGACTCTGTTTTTTTCTAAATCTCTCATTTTGGAGGTCAACTGTGCTGAGAGTATATCCAGGATTATCTGAAGTGTAGGAACACAGTCTGCGATTAAAAGGAGCACTGAGAATATCTTATGTGTGGAGGAGCTGCATTCTATACGAGTAAAAAGGGGACTAGTCGTGAACAAACGGCATTTTCTAACTATTTATATTCTGTCGATGGTTAATCCTTATGTCAGAAAGTTAGTTTATAGTTCTTGTAAAGAAAGTTTTAGTATAAAAGTCAGCCCACCTCAGTCTCACCTGGAAGAAGTTACAGTTTAATAAATTATCATTTCTAACTCTTGGTATAACTTCTTCATACCACATAGGATCTTTTTCTATGTCCTAATTACTTTACATAATACATATTAAACACACTTTAGTGCCAGTGGAGTTTCAGGATCTGTTTTAATAGAGTGGGGGGGGGGGTCCTAAATCAGGAACCGGCCTCTCCAATCCTTCAAAGCTCTACATAATTAATATTTGATTTATTGCACTTCCAGAAGATTTTATGGATTTGTGAATTGCCACTGCAGCTTGTCACATTAGCAAGTCCAAGGGTTTTATTACAGCATTAATGTGTTATGATGGGAGCAGTCGTGGTGATTGTGTTCAGCACACTGTGTGTATTTTACTGTTTGGCTTTAGAGGCTGCACATTGCTTTTAATGGTTGCATGAGCTCTGTACGTATAACAGGAGCAATTTCTATTTAAAAACGTCTGCCCACCTCCAATGAGTCACAGAATGGAGAGGATTTGAGATGCATATAGTTTCTTTTTAAACTGTAAGAAATAATTGATAATTGTATCTCTAATTGAATTAAACTCCAAAGAAGTCTCAACAGTATGTCTCTGATAAAAACGCTAACAACTAACGGACACCTGAAATGTCACAAGGCGTCTCAACTTTACACTTCCTTTGTACTAGTAACATAGCTGTCAATTTAAGGGAGTCGAGTGAAATGTCTAATTATATCCTTTGAAATATAGTGGAGCAGAGATACTTTTAATCATTTCAGCTTTTCACACAAAAAATTGCGACATGACAAATAACTAGCATTGCAGTAAATGCTAGAAAATGATATTTGCAGATCCTACATGTATTTTTATTATATACTTTTCATATCAAAGTACTCTTACGACAGGGGGCAAAGCAATCAAAGGTAAAGATGGGGATTCTGCGATATCCATAATTCAGCTGCTATCCACACTGAAGACACCTGTACAGCAGGTTCGCTCTAATAGCTCGATATTTCATGGAGGAAAACACCCTGTCAAAACTGACATGATGTATGACAACGCCTCTTTTCACCCCAACCTTGTCCCTCTTACACTCTCATCCTCACTAATGCCTTCTCCTCCTCTCTGCCTTCTTCTCCCTCCCTCTGTAGTTTGACAAAGCATATGCCTACAGCGTCCGCCACATGTTTGGCAAAGAAGGCAAGCGAACAGACTACACCCCCTACAGTTGCATGAAGGTGATTCTATCAAACGCACCCAGCCAAGGCGACCATCATGGTGAGTTGATGGCTGTCGGGAGAAGCCATTACCCATGTGATAAACCACTCGACAGCCTTTAGTTAAAGTCATTTCCCTGGGACTAGTGACACACCTGACTGTGATCATCATTACCAAATGATCAATATATAGTTTTCCCATGCTCAGTATTACATGTTCCTGTCATCAGTGAAACAAGTGTTGTGCTATGTGAATTGTTTATTATGTTTTAATTGCATGTTTGTAGGATGTCCTTTCCGTCACAGCGACCCAGAGCTGCTGAAGCAGAAGCTTCAGGTCTACAAAGTGTCTCCCAGCGGGATCATTCAGGTGGGTGCTGCTGTCCTGTCTACAGTAGGCCTCAGATACATGGACAGGGTCTATATCACAACATCTTTTATATGTTCCCTAAAATAAGCTCACCTTTATGATCCTTACTATCATGATCCTTACACTAAACCTTTCCAAACACAGCAGATTTGCACTGTCAGGAAATGTACCGTAGATTATATTTACCAGCATAACTGAAACTTTGACGTACAGATGGAACCTAATATAAAACCTTAAAGGGTAGGTAATTCCCTTCAGAAACACTTTTTGTTATATTCCATGGAATGCTCTTAACATCCCAATAGCAGTGAATATATGAAATGCTTTGACAAAAAATATATACAAATATTTCATCTGTGGAAGCTGTGGCGCTGTAAAAAGCACGACCAGTTATCTGCCCCGGCCCGCGGCACGGCCTACCTGCCTGTCAGCCTTCCATCTCGTGCACAAACTTATCTCGTGCCCTCATTGGTCATGAGCACGTTCGTGTGTGTTGGAGGAGGGGCTCTGTGAGGAAGTCTGAAGGAAGGGGCAGATTTTGTATACTTTCAAATTCTAGCGCACTCAAGCTGGTTTCTCCATTCTTACCTTTAAGGCAGGGAAACCAATAGATTAGGAATCATCCATAAATGTCTTTACAAAATGTCACAACTCTCCACATAGACACATGGATCAATTATATAATCACACTATTTTCACAGTGTTTTGTGGATTCAACATGTGACATGTTTAAGGATGATTCCCACACTTTGCACAGTGAGTTTCAGCTTGTTCCTCCGGGCAGAGGGGTTAATAGTTCCAAGGTGCAGAACAAAGCCGTATAAAAACAGCTTTGTTCCAGCAGCCACCGCTCGGGTGAACAAGTTGTAGCAGCATAACACAGATGCTGTGTCAGCAATGGCTATTTATTTATTTATTTATTTATTTGATTGTCCATGTTTGTTCTAGTGGTTTTTAATGTGCTCGAGCCTGGGGTACTTTTTAACGATTTGTCTGTGTTGTTTGAAGCGTGTCTCGTGACGATGGATACCTTGTCTTTTAACTGCAAACCAAATCTACCTACGGGTACAAATAAATAACCTGAACTTCCTAAGAACTTTCTAGTCCAGAGTGAAGCTCCCTAATGTCACACCAGCAAGATATCTTTCTCCTGGATAAATCATAGCATAGCTGCTTTTAAATATCACAGTTTCTGTGCACTTTTGCAAATGTTCCTGTTTTCCATTTACCAATAATATAAAGTGCATCATCAGGCAGAGACTTTGCTCTCCACTGATCTAAGTCACATCAGCCCTAGTGTGGCTGCATCATGCTGGATGTGTGATATATATATATATATATATATATATATATATATATATATATATATATATATATATAGGGAGTTATAAAGGAGCAAAACACAGATTCCTCAGTAGGCCTTGGATTTATTTTTCAGCCGGCACTCTCAGTATAGAGTCACAGTGGCACTACTGTGATTTAAGTACAAGAAAAGTGAGAGCTCTTATGTGACCAAGCCAAAGCCTGGGCTTCAAAATGTCTTTCTGCATTCTCTCTTGTTAACCCTGCAGAGCTTCAGAAAAATCTGAAAGAAATATAGAAAGTCCAAAAGTTGAGATTTACCATAAGCCGTGAGCGTTGCCATAATGTATTCTACAAAGTGTTGACTCATGGCATGAATATTTAAATTAGCCCAAATAAGCCTGGTAATGTTTTCACTGCATTCCAAAAGTCTCTAAGGATGTTTTCACTGCTGTTTTTGTAATTGATGAGGTATGTTTGTGTAGATAGTTGACTCAATGTCTTTTAAAACCACTTTGAGCTGCAACGTTTAATCATTAATATATCCTGTAAATCACTCGGTGAGTATCTAAGGGTTAACCCTAACCTGCTGTCGTCTCTTACCTTTTTCTGCCGCAGATCCTGGAGCTGGTTAAAGGGATGCACTATCAGCTGGCCTGCCAAAAGTACTTTGAGCTGACACACAATGTAAGTCCAGATTTATTTTGAAGCGGGCAGTAACTGGGGCTACCTGTGTCAGAGGCAGGGGTTTGCACGTCATGCATGAAGGCTCAGGAGAGACCCTGAACTGTCATCTCCTCGATCATTAGCTGGTAGTTACAGCCACTTAATTTGTATAGGTTTATTATAACACTTTAGATTCATTTTTGTCGCGCTTGGATACTCCTTGTGGATAATTGAATCTGTTTTAGTTTGGGTAAACTAAAGTCATCATCCCTTGCAGTCACAGAAAAGCAGGGTTTGGTAAATAGAGAAAAAAAACAAGGTCTTCATAAGGACTGAGGTTAGTACACAGTTTAGATGTTAGATGGGTTAATAAAAATACAAGGTTGCATTGTGCATCAGTGGAATACCATAGTATTAAAGTAATATAACATGCTGAGTCACACAAAACAGCACTGTCTCAACTGCTGTAATTTATTCTGAACATTTCACAAGAGCACTTTAGGAACTCACTTTAAGGCTGCAGCCACACGAGGACGATAACGGTCGTATCCGCTACAGTTCTCTATCAGATAGACGGTTCAGCCACACGACGCTGACATGGAAACGCAGATAACGATAACGGTTCACAAGGTGGGTAGATCTGCGGACGAAGCGCTCTGGGGGCCAAACGGCTCCGTGTCTACGCCCTATAACGATCATTTCCTGATAACGATGACGCAATAGCCCCAGTGTTTCGAGCCAGGTCCCGGTATCTCGCAGGACAGTGCACCCAGCAGGAGCTTCCAGCTAGATTTGATCGATATGGACATAAACGCGAGTGAAGTCTAATCGGACAGGAGAGGAGACACGCAGCTCTGCATGCTCACCTGCAGCTCCGCCCGCTGTGATGGAGCAGAACAAAACACACACTTCAAGTTAGATCATCACCCTTAGCTATTTTAATGACCTCTCAAACTACCTAAACTAGTTATAAATGTTTATTTTTACTGTCGGGTCAGCCAGCTGCATGAGACCACGGATACTGATGGGCTGTCAGGAGAGGGGGAGGGAAAAAGAGGCTCCGTCCTCCGTGTATTATTGTTATATTATTACATAGAGTTGTTATGCATTTGTTTTAAAGCTCAATAAATAACAAAGAAGACCTTTGACCGGCACTTTTCTAATTTTGTCCGGAAGATTTCAACTTTAACGGACGAAACCCCACCTCTGCTGCTAAATCCAGCGCGGAGAATAAACAGAAGGGCAACCATGCATGCGGCAGAAGTCTTCTTCGCTGCTTTTGGTGTATTTTGTGGCAGAAGTACAGCGCCACTTACAGGCCCGGCATATGTACTACAGCGTCTCCAGCGCTTTCGAGCAGTCTCGTGTGAACCAACACGTTTCTGGTGCCTGTTGCGTGTGGACGGAAGACTTTTTTGATAAGGATTTCGGTCCATTTGCGTTATCGTCCTCGTGTGGCTCCAGCCTAAGACTCGGCACATCCTAGAAAAGTTTAAACACACTATGATGTATAACTATTTGAAGCATGTTGCACAGGTCTTCAAATAATGGCACCATATGTGGGGAATACACTATTCTAATGATGGCCTACATGGATATCTTGGTGCTTATTGGCTTAAATGAGAAATGCCATAACATGTATATTCATTTACATTATGTTCTGCAATCATGTGTACAATTAATAATTTGGTTACAAATCTGTAGCACAAGTATGTATTGTTTTATGTTATGCACATTGATTAGCACCCGCTTCAGCTGCACAGATGCAATATAATAGTTTTATAGGAAGTAGTAAAATCCCTACATTATTGCCCTAAAGTCTATCAAACATCCACGATGTCTCTAACGGCAACAGGTAGAAGCAGCGGAGTGAAATGTCTCCTATTCTAATTTGCTGTTGTGTGCAAGTCTACCCCAGTAATTATAACATTAATTCACATGTAATGGTTTTGAAAACATCAATTTCAATTACACAATTGTTTGAAATGATGTAAAAGGTCACAGGAAGATCATTCGAAAGTGCTCGAGCTTCATCTGTAAATTGATTCATAGGTTTCTACTCATGAGTGATTCTGACATTTTATTTCCTGAAAGGGCATTTCATCTCTTCATTGAATTAGAGTGCTAATTTGGCCAAGAAAGCCTGCTGTCCTCATCATCTTTAATAAATGATTGGCTTTTTAGTAAATTAGCAAAACACTCCACATGGTTGCCAATAAGCAGATGTTTCATGACTCTCATAAAAGGCAATAACATTGAATCAATAAATTGCTATGCTAGCAACCTGCAACAAACCACACTGCTATTCTCATGTTCTCTTGTCCTCTCTCTCCTCTGTTTTCTTTTTATTGAGCAGGTTGAGGAGGCCAGTTTCTCGCTCAATCACCCCAACCAGTACTTTATAGAGAGCCAGAAAGTTTTGGGCGGTGGCAGGGACATAAAGCGAGAGACGGATGCGCCACAAAAGCCTCAGGAAAACTCCACCAAAGCACCCATCGCGGCTCCAGAGGCAGCAGCGAACACACAGGATGTGGCCGAGATGACGGAGGAACTGGACTCTTTCTTTCAAGATGCCTGATTTGCTTCTTATTTTGTATACCTTTGATTACTTAAGGTTGGGTCGGGTTCATTTTGTAAAATCGTTTAAAGTCACTGTACATGAGATGTTAAAATTAAAAGTTGCATATCAGTCGTTTCTCCACTTCTTCTTTTATTGCCACAACACAACAGGCTTTGAGTTCAACTAGCCTGGACAATGTTCCAAGTGTTCTACCCTTAAATCACTTGTTATGTCGGTGACACAGTGACAGTATTTCTGCAGCGGTAAAAGAAGTCTGAGTTCTTCTTTCTTTGTTTTTACTCTTGTCTGAACTCAGATGGCTCAGTGCACTGGGTTTTGGCAGGGACGTGGTTGTGATGACTAAAACATTACCCAGCTGTCTCAGAAACAATGTCATTGTATTTGCTGGCAGGAGTATGGATGAAAATAAACAATTTTCACAGCTGTATTATGTCGCCTTGGAATATTGCCTCATAGTGCACAATGCAATTTATTCAAAGCATACATGGTCAGGAGGTGTTTAAATCTTCTCTTACACCTTTGTCTGCAATAATTTGTGGAAAATGGTGGCAGTCGGAAAGTCGGGAACCTTCTTCTCCTCCTCTCTTTGTTCTTTAGAAGGTATGATTGTGAGCTTTTATCTCAGCTCCTACTATATTCATTTATTAGATGACTAACTTTAGATCCAATTAGAGGCCCTGAAAAGGTAGACCTGAATTACATGAATACAAATGTGTTTTCCAGCAGGCCAAGGGAAATATTGAATGTATAAATGAAAACCTCTTTCTGTAATTTAATGATTGTGAATTTTTAATCAAATGTTATCTTCCCGCGGGGCCAAATGTAGAAAGAAATCATAGCACTTAGTCACATATCTTCTGCAGGCTTTTCTTTTTTGAAGTCTTTGACGCTTACACCACAGTTCATCACTGTCACGCTTGTAACACGCGGCCTGCACCAGAGTTGGAATTAAATGTAGGTCTTAAAATCCAGGCATGGTGCTTGACACAGAGGATTTATCCAGTATAATAAGGAAACTAGAAAGCTGGGCTGCTGTCAGCAAGACACCCTTGATGTTTAATATTTGGTTGTGCATGAGTACATTTGATAAAGCTGGCACTTTCTTAGACCGTGGGCATGCAGTTGACTAGGACGCTGTTTATCTCCTCCAAATGGATTTACTATCATTAATCATGAACTTGCTTTCTTTCATCCCTCGATTTGTTCCCTTCTCCTTGCTCATTACATGGGCGAGAGGTGTTCTGGGAATGATGTGTTATCCAAAAGGGCAAGAAATGTAATCCAAGACCCAACCGCAACATTTGTTGCATGAGCCTCGTATGGAAACTGACGTGCGGGGAGAATCTGTATGCGGGGATGTGCTGTGGAGCTGGAGAGAAGCTTTGTCAATGTGTCACAATCTGGAGCTGGTAAATGCTGCAAACATGACCTCATCAAGAGCATTTGCATTGCAGCTAAAGGCCAATAATATAAATTCAAATGAAAACAACACTTAAAGGTGGGGTATGTAATTTATTTCAGAAACACTTTTTGTTATATTCCATGGAATGCTCTTAACATCCAGATAACAATGAATATTAATTTTCTAAAATCCTATGGAGAAATATCATTGCTTTTTGGTGGAGGGAAGCCATGCGCAGTTTATTTCCGGGTTTTAGGACGCCTCACTGCAGCTCTCTCTCCTCCTCTTCACACACCACACTTTTCGCGGCACACGTACTTACAGCCAATCAGCTCTGAATTATGTGAGATGACGTATGGTGGGGATGGCAGCACTATGCCCCTATGGTCATTATTTTTTTGCCACACACATTAAATAGGACAATACTCTGAGCATGCGCAGTGTAGTTTTTACAGTCACCATTGACTTAAACAGGGAGAGGGGGGGGCAGGATCGGGTTTTGTCCCACATGGCTCAAAACAGCTCAATAGGCACACACTGTAGACACTAATTAGAAGAACACAGACTAAAACAGCAATGTACAGACGAATCAGATGAATAAACATGATCTTAAAATATATTTAATATATTTTTTAATTTATTTTTTGCATTTTTTTGTAATCATTACTTTTAATACTTTCTGCTGACACTAGGTGGGGCTGTGCCCCACCTGCCCCTAATGACCAGTCGCCACTGGGCCTACCTGCCTGTCAGCCTTCTGTGCACAAACTTATCTCGTGCCCTCATTGGTCATGTGCGCGTTCGTGTGTGTTGGAGGAGGGGCTCTGCTCTGTAAGGAAGTGGCAGATTTTTTCAGGTTTTGTATTTTCAAATTCTAGCGCACTCGAGCTGGTTTCTCCAAAATTACCTACCCCACCTTTAAAGTATACATTATAGCTAAAGAATAATGTATCATATCATCTAGAAATGCACCAAAACAAATCAAAGGTTATAACATCCCATAACACATTCTTCTACATCTCACCCTCGGACTTTATAAATATGGGCCCAATTTATTTGATAAATGTCTCATTCATCATTTCAGATCTCATAAAAGTGTGTGCTGTTGTGATGGAGTATTAACTTTTCAGTGTGAGGAAGAGCAGATTATTATGTTCGGTCTATATTGGATTATTGTCAAATTAGCTGCACTGCAGTCAAACTTTCTGTTCTCAGCACCCTAGTTAGATAATTATGGAAAGAAAGTAAGAGTTCATGCATTTTGAGTGCTATGAAACCTGTGTTTCTTAATGAACCCTAATGCTTTTAAGTAATTGATGAATTCCATTATGTTGTTTTGGTTGAATTCCATTAGAAATATTTCATTAAATATAATTGGTACTCAAGGCTCTTACTTGTGGGAAAGAAAGTACTTAAGAAGTGATGATTATAAATCTTGCAATCCCACAAAACACTGAAAACAGTCAAAATGCTCTCATCTTTGTAAAGTAACCTGCCGTAACCATTTCAAATGTCACCATTTGTGTAGTCATACATGTGTTTGGAGGACATTTATAACATCTTTTTGAATGGTTCTAACAAGTAAACACATTACTTTAACTATTTTATTTAGCATTTTAATTCAAATGTATTATTTTTCAAACAGCAACTCCAGACAGTTGTCAGCAGATAGGAACAATGTTTTCCATTGTAAAATAGGTGTCCTACTTTCTCTTCCAGCAAAGTAAACAAAGTAATATGTGTTTTAATACATCCCAATGGGACTTTGGGTTGAAGAGAGGCAGAGGGGGAAAGCTTGTGGATGACATTTGGATGATTCTGGAGGATAAAGGAACAAAATGTCAACCACTTACCATCGTCTTTAAACACACTGTGACAGTGGACGAAGAAGGGGTAAGACTTTAGAGTTTTAGATAGCTTTTTCATTTCCGATAGTAAATGGTCAGTCAGTGTGTTGTTTGCCCCTTTACCCTTATTCCTGAAAATGCTAGGAAGACATTTCAAATGTGAAATGATAATTAATGTAATGTCAAGAACTCCAACCCTTTAAGCAATACTGCTCATTTAAGCTCAACATATTTGTTACCATGGTGTACCCTCCTTCAGGCTTTGCTTCAGATCTTTATTACCTTGAAAAATAAATATTATGTGGCAGTAACTAGTGTTACTACAATTGTTGATTAAATGCATTACTTGTTGTATAGAAAAAGCCAATTTATAATTAATGCTATACCTTAACTTTACCTGGTTATTCCTTGACAAATTAACTGATGTTTGAGTTTTATACCAAGCAAATGCAGAAGGCAGGATTTCCTTCTATTTGACTTGCATGCTTTTTGGAGGTGGAAGAAAATCAATACAAACAGAAGGTGAACATTCAAACTCTTCATTTGGCGGGAAATTGATCTGTATGTTTTTGCTGGGAGGCTGCCTTTGGCTTGAAATGTAAAAGTAAATACATCAGCAAAGTCAGTCACACATTTGTTTGTAGAGAATCTGTCCTTGTCCTTCCTACAAGGGTTGTTCGGTGAAGATACACCCGTTGGCATCTGTCCATTGGTCTAAATCTGGAGATCCATGAGGGTCCATTACTGTCTCTTGATGACGTTCTTTGGTATTGATTGTAACAGCAGATACATTTCACTCCCATCAGCATGTTGTCCAATTCCTGTGAAACCTAGCAGTTGTTATGATGCAGTGTGATGTTGGTATCCTTGTGTTAAAAAAAAGAAGAATAAAAGAAACCTTTCCTTGTCGTCAGATGTATTGGCTCGATTTACATAACATTTACCAGGAGCTGTGACAATGCTGTTGATTGTGAATTTTGGGGATACATTTCTGCAGCTGTATGTTAAACGTATCATTATTCCTTGGGGTGTCGTCTCATTAACCTGACAGATGTGTGAGCCGCGCTGTTCATGTGATTCATTTTGCATGAACTCTTCCTAAGCTCCACCTGCAGCCATGCTGTCTGTCGCTCTCCTGCGTTGCTTTCCTAAACAGGTTTAAATGCACCTCTAGTGCAAGTTAATTAAAAAATGTTGCTCAATACTTCATATTGTTTCAAATAATCGTGATATAAAGTTTGCCTCACTGAGAATGGGCATTGTGTTCTCATTGTTGCAGTTATTTAAACATAAACAACATATTTTATTAAAATAATGTTGTATGTTCACCTTAAATAAATAATTTGGCTGTATCAATGTCTGTGTTTTCATTAATTGTTCTCTTCATTGCTTGTGTGGACAGGGTGGTCATATGCAAATATAACCACATACCAAAACGTATTGTGTACATTCCAGTACAAGTACCCAACATTTATTTTGTATTCCACTACACTTAATTCAATACAATTATGTAGTTTTTACTCACTTACATTTATCTGACTTTTTTAACGTGAATTATTGTGATAAAAAGTGTACCTTTGTGTGTTGAGAACAATTCTACTTCTACTTCCATACTAAAACTCAGCATGCACTCTAAATCAAACCTAAAGAATAGTTCAATAGTGTGGACCGGGTATATTAGACGATTTGTAAATAAAATATAAGCAAAATATTGGGAATACTCTTATTTGTGTTCTAGCTGAGAGTCAGGCAAGAAGATTGACCACCAGTAGGAAGCCTCCATTTTCACAGCAGATATTTTGGAAGGTCAAAGCATGAAAATCACAGGTGTAAATAATTGCATGGACGATGTCTCTAGAGTC